GTAGGATAGTCCCAATCCAAAAATTGGAAATATTATTTGTACTTGGGAGGAAAAAACCTCCCAGTACAATTGTCCTGTTAGAATTCAAAAGAAATAATTTAAAAGTCACGCGCAAGTTCGCGAAAACACCTCGTGGGTTACATAACAGGGGGGGGGTGTGAATATTTTCACGAAACGTTTGTTCGCCACCACAGCAACCTAACTAAATGTATTATATTTTTTGTATTTTTATAATTGATGATAAATATACGCAAATATTTATTGTTTTTATCAAAAATCACAAATATACAATAAATATAATGTACCCAACTTAGGTTGCTGTAGCCTGTGGCACAGAATAGGAAGTTATACCAGAAGCGTAACTCTAGTCGTTTCCCTTATTGTTTGACGTCCACGAAAATTTTAACTCGCTCACGTCAGGCCACGCCATCCTGGCTAGTACAGCCGGAAGTTTTTATCACGATTTGGTAGGTACAAAGTGCCGGTTGTACTAGCCAGGATGGCGTGATTGATGACGAATCGCTTGTAAAAACGCGGACAAATATTTGCTCGAGTTACGCTTCTGGTATAACTTCCTATTCTGTGCCTGTGGTGGCGAACAAACGTTTCGTGAAAATATTCACCCCCCTGTTATGTAACCCACGAGGTGTTTTCGCGAACTTGCGCGTAACTTTTAAAATATTTCTTTTGAATTCTAACAGGACAATTGTACTGGGAGGTTTTTTCCTCCCAAGTATAAAAAATATTTCCAATTTTTGGATTGGGACTGTTCTACAATGAAGTACTCTTGGATAATGTAATCTAAATACATATGAAAACGAAGAAGTGGCATTTATCGGGCAGAGAAGCGGCGAGCCATTAAAATGGCGGCAATTTGACGAGATATCGAAGGACACAATATCGAAGATAAAATACACTGCACTGTTTCAAAAGTGGATGAAACCTTCTTTGAAATCTTCTTCAGCCATTTATGATTATGTAAAAGTACAATAACTGGATGATATTTGCGTGATTCGGCGATAAAAAGCAAACAAGACATCAAAATATGGCTGAAATCGCGTTTTTGTGGGGGTAAGTGAAATAAAATTTATTATATTTAAAGAAAACAATGACAATCCTTATGAAATCAACAATATTTACATTAAATTAAGCATAGTTTTTAACCCCATGATAATTTTTTTTAGGAAATAAGAATATTTAATTTCTGCCAGGCATATTAGTTATTTTATGCATAATCAGCAATTTACCTGGGGTGGTGCATGGTCATTTTCTTGTAAAATATTATACTTAGACAATTTTTTTCTTCCAATGACCACCCCTAAAAGCAACCCTTCTGAACACTATAAGCACTTCAGAAAGACTATCGCTTTTTGTTTTCTGAAGTTAGAGCTATGTCAACACTGCCGTTTCAGGGCGGGGTCATTTTCAGGACTTTCGTCCCGGATTCAGCTTTTGGCACATATGCCATGTTGACCGCCATGGTCATTTTACCCTAAAACAATTGAGATTACCTGTGCTAAATTAAACGCATACAAACTCATATACAGGTCCTAGACTATGTGGCCGAAAATACATTTATAGACCAGAAGAAGATCTCTGATTTTTCGATCGTAAGTTAGTGGCAATAAATTGAGAGTTTTTAGTCTATCTTCATATAAGACATTTCTCCAACTTTACTTTTGAGGATCCAACGTGTAGCGCGCCTTTGAACTTTTTCTAATGCAACTTGTAGCTTCACATTAGCTGGGGACCACACCTCCGTTGCACTCGTTGCGTAGCACAACTTTGATTTTACCAAAGTCAGGTATAGTGTTCGCCTAACTTTAGTATCTCTAATCAGGGGACAAGTTCTCTTTAAGATACCAAGCATCATTTGGAGTCATCTGGACACTTAACAGGCATTTGACTCCGTTTTGGCTCTAGAATGAAGGCGAATTTGGTAAAATATGAGCTACGGAATTATTTTCAAGTATAACAATCAGCGAATAAGTAAGCCACTAAGGTTTCGAGTAAAATTGGTCCATTAAATGTTTTAAATGTTTGTATATAAACCAACGTTTTGCGACAGCTAGCCGACCTCTGAACTTTGATAAATAAGGGGTTTTATAAAGCTGATTGCGCGTTCTAAGCCTGTATCTCTCTCCTCCGCAGAGGCTTCCCTCGCCTTTTTCCTTTTCCGCCTGCGCTCCTTCGCCCAGCGGCTACGCTCGTGTTCCAAGATCCGCCATGTAAAGTGTAGTGAAATGTATCTCATCGTAATATTAAATCCTAAGAAAACTAAAGTCTCTGCGGAGGAGAGAGAGCCTGTATCATTAGATAGCTTAAGATCTACGACGTCGACTTCAGCTAGGACGTCAGGGCTAACAGAGAACTGGGATTAGGACGTCGTCCTAAATAAATAAACTTCCACGTAGACATTACTTACGACGTAGACATTTAAACTATAAATATTTACATTCTTTTGAAAATGAGTTTAAAATAGACTGTGAACCATTACTGTTTGTTATGCTTTTGTATTTACGACGGTAAAACTCTTGTTGTTATAAGGTTGTCGACGTTTGGTGGACGACGAGCAAAGTTGAGAGAGACGTATGCACACTTCAAAAACTATTACCAATTTACTTCCACTTGCCGCCCTAAATATTTGACGTCATACTTGAGCTATTATCGACTTATTTAAGACGACGTCCTAGTCCCAGTCCTCTGCTTAGCCCTGACGTCCTAGCTGACGTCGACGTCGTAGATCTTAAGCTATCTATTATCATATACAGCGCCGATTTCTCACTCCTGCTTAGTTTCTTATATGAAACAATTATGTTAAGTACATAAATACACTGCAGTGTATATTAATATATGGTTCGCGCGGCTCACCGTCAATAAACATTGGCATTCAACGAAAGTAGTTAGGACGTAACTCTTCAAGATGTTGTTGTTAGAATTCCGAAATGTAATACGATCCGATATGAAGTCTGCGACTCTGCGCTAAAGCCTGGTTTCCATTAAATCGTAATTATCGCAAGAACCGCATCGCAAGCGTCGCAACGATTTTAAAAACGCGCAAATTTTTAATAAAAACTGCGATTTATTGGAAACTTGAGTCACACCGATCACTAAGACTCTTACGACAAAGTCGCAAAGATAGAATTACTGCGATTTTTGCGATAGCGATGTCTGCGTTCCGCGACTATTGCGATGATTACGATTTAATGAAAACCAGGCTTTAACTATATACTGTATAGTAATAATCCTGTCTCTGTTTCAACATATCCATATCATTTACGAACAATTGAAAATACTTTATTAGTCAATCGTATATTGATGTGTTTCATAATCGTGTTTCAAGGCATTGGCTTTTATAGGTCAGTGGGAAGGAGTCTCTAGTGGCGTGTACGAATTCGTCACGCGAAAAACGCGTTCGGATTGTGCACGCATGTGGGTTTTTACCACGATGGATTACTGTTTATAATAAGTGTGCAACTATAAGTATCGTCCTACAACTAATCTGGAATAACCGTTTTAGCGCAAATTACTGGTATATCAATGATCTGTTTATGCACGCATGTATTATTTTCTGATTATGTTCTAAACTAGCTAGTGCTTGGCGGCCATTCACTTTTTAAAGTTGTCGATTGACTACATGCCGGGTAGAGTGCGGCAACGATTTATTGCTATTCGTAGATTCATGTACGCTAGCGTACCTATTTTTTAATACGTAAGAGTTTCAAATTAATTGCTGCGGAGCGAGCGAGCCTGAAGCGAGCGAGCGTAGCAGCAACCTAATATATGCAGAGAGGGGGTTTTAAACTAAATTTTATTTAGCGCATGGAATTGTGGTCGTGCGCGCATTCTATGCGCAGAACACAAATTTTAAACTCGCTCGAGGACTCTTCAATTTTTATCGAATTTCCCTACCTTGCAGGTACCCTAGTTACAGGATTATGTCATGCACCTCAACTGGACTCACTGATCTGAAAACAATACCTGGAGAGTGTATCCGCTATTATTCAGTGCACTGAAATGAAGCCACGTCAGCTAAATCCTGACCGGCATCCTGCATGGCCTTTTCCACCAAAAAGGATTTTGGTACGAAGCAAATTTTCAAAACAGTTTTATAGTTTGTATATAGTACATCTTTTGCATTTTGATAATAAAAAACAAATCAGAATAATCGATTTTTGACCGTTATCGATTTTTCATGAACCAATGGGATGGATTTTTCAACAGAATCTCGTTCTATGGTGGTTGCTGAGGACCAAAACTATAAATAATGATATACTATATTCAGTTCCCGTTTTCTTCGCGGAAATAAAATAAATAACTGAAATGAAATTAAAAGACAATGATCAATAATGTGTAAGATAGTAATAGTTGTTTCGAAATTTGACTTTTTCACAAAAATATTGTTCCAGATCTAGCCCACTTTAATTTAAAATCACTGTATCGAGTTTTCCAATCATCTATAATTCCAATCATCATCGCTTTATAACAACATTCTGTAAAATTTATTATCACGTACGGCTGAGAAAGGCCGAGAAAAACTAAAATAGTAAGTTGTATCGGCAACCGTGAAATCATATAGAGGGTCCTGAAGGGGGGGGGGGTCCCAATCCCATTTCCCACCTGAAATTTTGACAAAATCCCAGTCCCAGTTGGATTTTTATTAGAAATCCCAGTCCTAGTTATTGAAATCCCAGTCAATAAAAAATCCTTTATTTATCGGTAGAATAAACAGTTTTAAGACCTTTTAAGCCACCGTGTGTGCAATGATGGAAATTTTAAGAAATATTGGGGGCTCGTGCTGAAAGCACAGAAAATTTTTAAATTTGAATCCCGGAAATGGCATTTGCAGCATTCTGAAACATGCATAATCAGAAAACCCAGAATTCCGGGCGCCAGAGTGTGCCTGTTCGCAGGTAGTGCTGTGAATAATATAGTTACAACAAAAAAATCATGACCAAAGACACCGAAAACGGATCAAAATTGTATTTTAATTTAAAACACTTAAAATGTAGAAAAATTGGGAATCGACTCGCATTACCTCAATCCCATTCCCATTTTTGAGGACTTCATTTCCCATTCCCAGTGGCCAAATCCCAGTCCCAGCAACCCAAATCCCATTTTCCCAGTCTAAAATTAGATCAATCCCAGTTCCCATTTTACCCCTTCAGGGCCCTCCATATATGATACTAGCAATTTTTCGTTTGGTTGCGCTTGTGACCTTGCAGCCCCCTCCCCCAATTATTTGCCGCTAATAATAATAATTCTTTTTTCAAAATCATATAGATCTTTATCATTTAAATAATATTCTTTTAAAATACTGACAATTGATTAATTTTAAGCGGCTACATTATCCATGACAAACTGCAAAGAATTAGCTATTACCCATGGCCATGCCCAATCCAAAAGAGCTTCTTACGGTACTGCCGTACTGGTTAATGTGTCGCTGAGTGGCTGATTGTGAATATTTTATTCCTTATATACCGTTGTTATACCTTTCATTCAATTTAACGTTTGTTGTATTTGCAGTTTTACAATTAGACAAAACTAATTGGGTGCGCCTATGTGTACGTACTTTGTTTCCTTCTTTTCAGTTTTCGTCTTGTTTGAAGTGGCTCCCCCTGATTTTTTGGCCCCCCTTGGCCGGAAATCGTGGCTACGCCACTGGGACCTATCACCAATGTTTATACAATAAGAAGGCGATATTATTAGGTCCCGCATTTCCGTGGTCTGCAGTTCCGTTAATTAGTCGTGCTCAGAATTTTGTTGTTAAATCAAAACAAACATTCTTAAAAAGAGTTTTTGAAAAGAAAACCCTAAAGGAAGTGAAAAATAAAAAGTAAAACGCCAAAATAAAAGAATCCTTCCAAAATACGGATGTAGAAAACAAAGAAAAACCATTGAGAAAAACAGATGACCCTGCACGATAATCGGAGTTCTTGGACCCCCCTATAACGAATTGTGACTTCTAGTTCCAGGCCCTATTGCTTCCTCCTTTCCCGCTTTGAGGAACATGTCGTCCAAGCCCGAAGATAGACCAGACTCAGGGTATGTGGATTTATTTCATGAAAGGAGAAAAAAAATACCGATTTCTCTGCCCACACAGAAAATAGTATTATCTGTGCTGTATTTAGTGGTATTTTGGGGTATATTATACAGTTTAATATGCCTTAATAAACCCGATCATTTTGGCAACCTGAAGACACACTGAAAGACACGTGTTGTTCTGTGGATTGTTCTGCTTCGAGTTTGACCGTGTTATGACTAATATCCCAGCTATATTTTACTGTATTGTAGTATTCCAGGCGATGATCCGCCTAGAGATCATAACAACTCAAAAGATGCCCTACCAGGACAAGATGGACAAGTCATTGAAGTAAAGCTATCGTTTCTAATCCTTGAACTTGCCGGTACGATTGTCATATTTCATTGAATTGAACAAATTAAAATGTACATGGGTTTTTTTATCACTTCTAGTCTAACTGGAACGAAGTATGTGAAAGTTTTGATGATATGAGTTTGAGAGAAGATTTACTTAGAGGCATTTATTCGTACGGGTACGTATCCCTTTGTTAAAATATAAATTATAATCATTCTTTGGCCATATTTATTCATGGATATGTTTGCGGATCAATAAATTTTGTATCTCTCCTTTGTTAATAGTTTTGAAAAACCATCAGCAATTCAGCAAAGAGCTATTATCCCATGTTGTCAAGGTATGATTGTATGAAAATTTGTAAAGTTTTGATAGACATGATGGTTGTTTTAAATTAAAACTTGTTCTTTTCTGGAATTATTTTATAAATGAATTGTTTTATAAATAAATTGTCTTTCGTTTTCTTGATTATTGCGCAATAATTCTATGCAGTTCTGAATTATTTTGAATACTCAATAGTGCATTCGATTGTTTTAAAATAGTTTTTGAACTGGGTTGAGTTATTTATTTACCAAAGAATAGGCCATTTCTAAACTATAATCTTATCAAGAACAATATTGCCAAATTGTGGCTCCATGCTAACTTTGCTTAGGGGCCGTCAAGAAATAGATTTCGTCCACCGGTTGTGGAGTTGTTCCTTTTGAAGCAATTGCGGAACAAGTCTGTGATTGATGGACAAATCTATTTGACGACGGCCCCCTAGTACAACGACCATAATTCTGAAATGGGAAATTTTACACTTTACCATACCTAAATCTGTACTTGAGTAATGGGTGTTTCGAAAACGAAGATCTAAGATAGGTCTTCAGCCTTCGTAATTACTCGTCTTCGTTTTCATACTACGAATACCATAAAATACTCATTTATATGTTATCTTCGTGAAAATAATCCGATAAATTGTGGCAAAAATTAAGGAAAATACGCTTCAGCAATAAAAATAGAATCATGAAACCTAAACCAGTAAACCACCCATGTATTTAGTGAAAGGCAAGCATCAGACTAGCAAGAAATAAATAACTTTAAAATGTAAAATGTTAACAATAGAATTACAATTGCAAAATGTATGCATCAGCAGGGTCTTAGCTAGAGGGCCGTGTTGGCCGTGTTATCGCGGCCAAAAGTGGAAAAACACGGCTAGATAAAATGAACGCGGCTTTGTTATTTATATAAGGCCGTGTAGGTTCATAAAATAAGGTGTTGCTACAGTACTTACAACAGACAGAATTTCTTCCAATTTACGTCGTAAGAGAGTTTGTAAAATCTACTGTTGTTGTTGAAATTGGCAAAAGCGATCCAGTTTTAATATCTTGATGGAACTGTATGGTGTTAAAATGGTTTTAAATACCCCCAAGAGTTGCTGAAATAACTTAATATTTTAATGTCAGTGCGCAATATGAGCGTTTGCTCGCCTTGTATATTTGGTTGCAAAGCATACATGCAGTAGAACAACCATAGGCATTGTCTGTTGTTGGCGAGCTTAACTAGAACCGTGAATTTGGCTATTCAAGGTAATTGAAATGTGCACACCCTGGTCATTAGAAACACGCCCAAGACCTAAAATCCTAGCTAAGACCCTGTGCATCAGTAATACCACGGTCTGTAATACCACGATATTCCACATTTTAATCAGTAATACCACAGTCAATGGAACCACAGAGTCAGTGGCGTAACTCCTTTGGGCGCTGCCTGGCTCAAGCCAGGGGCCCAAGTCAATTAGAGGGCCCCTGAACAAGGATGGCAAAGTGGATGTATTTCAGCAAATTTTGCATCTTTTGGATGTAGCCCCCCCCCCCTGTCGCCACTTTAAATGGGCAGGACCAGAGGTAGGGATAGCAGCCAAAATTTCAAATTTACAGGGGGGCTCCGCAAGTAGGCTAGTTTGATAGAGCTCGTGATTTAAAACATAATGGTGTTTATTTCATCAAAATTGGTCAAGGCAATCAAAAGTTATGGTAATTTGAATATTGGAATTTTAGTCCAATTTTTGGAAGAGCGGCACTGTATAAATGTATTACAGCTGGGTGTGAAATGTGGCACCAAAATGCTTGGTTTTAAGTGGATTTTTAAACATATAAGGTCATAACTTCTAGACATTTCATCCAATCACCACAATATTTTCAGAGGACATTGGTGACATCAGGGTGTTAGCCAGGATTTGCAACTTGGGTGTCCAAATTTGAAATTTTGGTTATGACATCCAATTGTTATCATATGCATGGAACCATGGTACCAGTAATTCAGCAATGTGATTATTCCCGATTGCTGGGAGTAATCAGTGACCGCACTTGAGAATCGCCCAAAAAACTAATAATATATTCAATTATTCAGACTATGTCACTACTCACTACACTACTATTGTAGTACAGTTTAAGTAAATCTGCCAATTATATTAATTTTACGAGCGATATTATGTTGTCACTTTCATGCTATAAATACAGTACTTGTATATACTGTAGTACTTTGATAATCTAGTGTGAGCGAAGAACACAACCAAAAAGCAACTTATTGTCTTATACAGTATATTCAGCTGCGGTTTTTGGCAGCTAGGCCTAGGAATCTTTCCGCTGCAACTTGCAAGTGAGCAATGTTTATATTTCCATGGTATTTTATTCTCAGCAGCTTGTCTAACCGATCTATTGTCAGATGGTTTTGCAGTTGTGTTTTTATGCAATTCTTAAACTTTACTGCTGTGAAGTATGGGATGTGTTTGGTGAGACACAATCAAAAAGACTCCAAAAACTCCAAAATAGAGCTGCTCGAATCATTATGAATATGAGCAATGACACAGATCATTCTGTTGCTCTGCAAGCATTGGGTTGGAAGACACTTAAAACAGAAAGAAAGAAAGGGAAAGCAAAAATAATGTACAAATTATTAAATAAAATGGGTCCCAAGTCACTCTCTAATCTTTTCACATATAAAGGTGAGAAAACAAAGTATCACCTCCGAGATATTTCAAGTGGTCTTTGTCTACCACAACCGCGTACTAATAATATGAAAAAAAGTTTCATGTATGACGGAGCACACCTATGGAATTCAATTCCAAAAGAAATTAGAGAGAGCAAATCCCTTTCTGCCTTTCGGAAAAAAATCGTTACTCACATTGACTGATTGATTAATGGTTTGTAAATATATCTAAATTACTTTAACTTATTTAATACTATATATCTTATATAATTTTGTAAATAGCTTTTTAGTGTATCTGTATAGTTTGCACACGCCCCCCGTGGAAATCAGCTTCGGTTGACGGGGTCAGCGTGTTTAAATAAAGTTTTTCTATCTATCTTCTCTTCTATCTTCTAAACACCCTTTCTGCTACTGCATTTCCAACCATTACACACAAGCAAGTTGCCATATTTGAAAACTAGGCGAGACTATTTCCTGAAAGGTCAATAAAATTTGCATAGGTGTTACTAGCGGCGCATGTTTACACTCGGATTACAAAATTACATATTTACTAGCTATTTCTACTCAGGAAACGAAACGCAAATACATAATTTATAAACATGTTTTATTGGTACTAAAATGTACTAAAGGTACTCTACAGCTTTTACCTAGCCGTCCAAAAGGTGTCACCATGATAGCGAACTGTCCAAAAGCCGTCTTTTTTAGAAGGCCGTCCAAATTTGAAAATGGCCGTCCAAAAGATGGCTGGACGGTAGGCTGGCTAAGACCCTGGATGATATACAAAGCAACAACATAGTGTAACAGTTGGACACTTATTGTTGCCATGGAAACCGTATGACGTCATGAAATGACAAAGAAAAAACACTGAAACTGAAATTAGATAATTTATTACTTAAAAACCATTACAAAAGTGTTGTATGACATGTTGTATGTCAAATAAGTAATACAGGTTTTTTTTCAGGGATTTTTTAGGGCCGTTAAACAGCCCCATCTTGAATTGAGTTTTGAAACTCAATCTTCTCACCAAAGTTTCAGTGCAGTAAAAATGAAGTTGTTTGAGTTAAATTCGTGACGTGTGGAAATTAGTTTTCAGTTGGAAACCCGACAATTAAGAAAAAATGGCTGGATTCATCTTGCAACACAAGAAAAACTATGCATTCGCCATCTTTAACCAGTTTATAGTGTCCCTCAGTGCCCCTGCTTTAACACATTCCGTCTCAACTACATTTATTGAGTACAAGTGTCAGTCCCCCCGGTAGGGGATGCAGCCACCCCAGTTGTTCAGCTAAACTCAATCTTCTCTGCAAAAACGGACCCAAGAGAAAATCCTGAAAAAAACCCTGTAATACTAGTTGATAAAATGTTACAAAACTGTGTTACCATGGAAATATGATGACGTCATAATGACGTCATAGCTATAAACAATATGCACTTAAAATACATATTTTTCATCACGTAAACATTAATTTTTAAAAACTAAATGTGTGTCGGATAGCATTACATGCTCAACAACACAACGGACAACATCGTTCAGTTACCATGGTAACCATGTGACGTCATTTTTATATACATTTTAATTGCAACATTCTGCATATCTGTGCTGAAAATTTTATACTTAAAATTAACTTATTGAAATATGTTGATAGTTTCATTATTGTACACCCTACCAATCCTAAACGCCTGTCAGTCATCACATAGACTGTTTCCATGACAATGCTACAAATCTGATGATGTTCCAATTACATAACTGATGACATCATACTACTATTGATAACTTACTCATGTTGAGGAGGAAATCAATTATTTTTCAAGAATCATATTATTTACTGTAACACTAGTTTACCAATCAAAGATACAGTTTCGACAACAAAAACTCCTGAGCTATATATCGAGCTGGACTGCTTGCTCATTTATTGGTAATGGGAGTTGTTTCAGTTCATTGTCCAAGCTATTCCACAGTCTAACAGCTCTAAACTGAAAACTCCTCTGACCCGATAAAGTTTTGCATAAGGGAATATGCAGTAACTCCCTGTTTCTGGTGACCCAGTCATGGAGTTCCACATGTTTGTTAAATAACTCGCATACATAGATATGGTGGAGCGAGTCCATTCATGCACTATTTTCTACATACTGTCTCATTTAAGAAAGGCATACAGTTTGAATGCATTGACACTTCTAATCCATGGTATACTTTAAGTTGATAATGTACACTATAAGAATGAAAAATAATACAGGGTTCGTAGCGGTCTTTGAAATCCTTGAAAGTCTTTAAATTGGAATGCAGGTCTTTGAGGTCTTTGAAAAGTCTTTAAATTGTGTGAAAAAGCGAAGAAAGTCTTTAAACGTCTTTGAATTCTTTAGTGAGTATTTGACTAGAAAATACATGCATGCAGCAACCCCTCGCCTTTCTTAACAGACGAAGTATAAAAACTCCACATAAAGTATTAAGACCATTATAAACAAACATAAAAACACAACTGATGCGCTAGCTTTATAATGAACGATAACATTCACTGCAATTTCATGCATTTCAGCTTGCATTAAAGTGAATTATCGAGTTAAGAATGGCTTAAAAATTTCGCAGATATGAATAAAACCGACAACACAAAGCATGTACGGCATGGAATGTTACTACTGAAATGTTTACACTTACCCAAACCGGCACAACAACGATTAAATTATCAAAGACATCAACATCAAAACAATTATTATACAAACATTGTTTCACGGTTGAACAGCAACTAATTCATGAAACTGCAGGCTTATTTCCATTTAAGATCGAGACAAAAAACCGTGTTGTACTTTTGTTAAATTTTTAACGATATTTAAAACAAAAAATTGCTGTAAAACAGCAAAATACGTCCTTTCAAAATGAAAAACAATTGCTTCGACAGAGTTTGTACTCGCGCATGCGCACAACCTCGAAAACCGTCCATGACATAAACAAAATGGAGGACAACTTTATAGCAATATTCGCAGAGTATATAGCACATTCAATGTTGGATTGCATCAATACTACGCTATGTTTTCACATACCCGGGTATAATTAGCCGTGCGGAATTAGTACCCTCGCACGGCGATTCGCGCCGCCGGCTCGTGCAGGCGCCGGTTTAGTGCGGGCGGGAGAAGAAAGGGCGTCGTTAAATAAACGCCTGCCCAAATGCCTATGATTAATTTGTTCTTCTCCGAAGAATCTTCGGAAAAGCTTCCCATTGGTTAATTTCGTTAACGGAAGTAATTACGTAATTCAAATGTCAACAATAATTTTGCTCTCGTTGATAGTCGCGTATCAAAAATATGCCGCCTGTTAATGCTTTCGAGGAAACTTCCTTACATTTCAAGTATTTAGGCTTCGAAATTCAGTTGAACCAGAACAGAAAGTATATTATTAATTTGCTACGTGGTGAAGACGCCGGTTATCGCGATTCTTCTTAAGGAATACGGAAAAGTTTGATCTTTCAATTATACATTTTAAATATATCCTGAATATTTCTTTAATATAGTTGTCTTGTTATTTGTTCACTTTAAAGTATAATTCAAGACCAGATAGTTGAGGCTATATCACTTGGCATTGCAGCTATGAGGGTGAATGATGATTTTAAGAATAACATGCTCAACTGTTATATTTGCTATACGGCAGAATACGTTAAACAACCGTGGTTCAGGAGTCTTTTAAAAGATAAAGGCTCTGTGCACGTTGTGACTGACTGTTGTCTAAAATAGCTTCAAAAACTCATTAATAATTCATGAGGAAAACACAAAGAAAAATCATAAACGTGTCGTATCCTTGATATGTGATAGAGATTTCCCTTGATTTACAGAAATTTTAATGATTTTCTCTACATATACACACCAAATTTTTGAAAGCTACTTCGCCAATGAACGTATACTAGATCGATCGTTTTTGAAGCAATTTAAAACATTCGCAGTGCGTGTTTTATCAGACCATCTTTATATCTGATATAACACTGCTGCTCGTGTTTTAAATAGTGCGTAAAATCTCTGCAAATCTCAGTAGTTGCCGAGCAAAAAGCATGCATGATGCTAAATATAAATCTCGACTATGATTGGATAATGGGTGAACGTGCTAATTACAAAACGTCAATCATCCTTAATGGGCGAAAACAAATTTGTCATAGCCATTTGGGCAGGCGTTTCCTCTGTACCCGCCCGTCAGCTAAACGCCTGCTACGCAGGCTACCGGCTCGGGGATTATACGATTTCCTAGCTAATAAAATAGATTGATTCAAGCAAGATTCGCAAATATCGACGAAAAGGCGCATTTTAGGATGTGATTTGACGGGACTAATTACTGGGTAAAAATGGTGCTTACACTCGCAATTTTTCGACAGCTGATTGCCCTCAAAAGTCTTTGAAAAGCGTTTGCAAATAGGTAGAAACAATCTTTGACAGTCTTTGAATTTTTTTGGTCTTGGAGACTACGAACCCTGTAATAGATTAGTCATCAGTTGAACTAATCAAAATTTCCCATTTATCCTGAACAGTTCAGTTTACTGTTGAGTTTTCAGCACATCAATTGGCAGAACACATAGCCAAGTTACGATGTCAACCCATGATTTTCCCATCCCCTCCCTTGTTTCACTTAACTCGATTACCAACTTGTTAGTTAAAAATACAATTGTGGTCTTACCAACAACCTGCTGTTGTTTTTAATACACTCGGTATATCATGCAATACCTGGTCAGTAATTCCAATTCTCAGACGATCATCGCCAACAGATGTCTGCTCTGATGCTCTTTATAAAGCTGTAAAATAACTGTACAACTACCCTCTGGGTGTTTTGCAAGCATGCGCAGGGATGATTATATTAGAGTCAAGCACATGAAGGCTTCTTTTCACCCTTTCCTCCTGGTTGTCCTCCAAACTACAGGTTGTTTCAGTGATTTTATTAAATATACGATAACATACTTTATGATTACCTTTCCACCTTGTTTTTCATCATTTTTAAGCAGGGCAATCACTTTTCTTTCATCCCAATTACTACAGGTTGTTTCAGTGATTACTACAGGTTGTTTCAGTTGTTTCATCCAAACTACAGGTTGTTTCAGTGATTTTATTAAATAAACGATAATATACTTTATGATTACATTTCCACTTGTTTTTCATCATTTTTAAGCAGGGCAATCAGTTTTCTTTCATCCCAATTTTGCAAGTTCCACGAGCACATGTCCAGTGACACACGCCATTGGCAAACTTGCAAAATTACCAAAATTCAAATGAATTTCCACATGTGAGCTCGATCGTTAAACAAAACAAATTATATATCAAAAGAAACCTTAAAACATATAGTTTATGTACATACCTGTCGTTGTAGACAGTTTTGCGTTAAATTGAGTCGTATCTTGCTTTTCAAAATTGACTTTTCAAATACAAAGTCTTCTGCTCAAAAAGTTGAAGAACGACATAGTTCAGAAGAATCTTCATGATTTAAACTTTAAGGTGGTGCTATTTTAAACCTGCATTCAGGTCGGGCTCACATGTGGAAAATCGCTTGAAGAGGGACGGGTAGGTGAGTAAATGCGTGCCGCGTGATTTTAATGGTGGCAAAATTGCAAATGTGCCCGAACTTTGATGCTTCGTAACAAAATAACTACGGTACTTCAGGCTTCGAAAATACACTCATTTTGTAGACTGAGATCTACTTTGTTTTTAAAGATTAATTTTAAAACGATATGTTTGCTTTCTTTTGCATAATAACACGCTGAAGGTAGCATATATGAGAAAATATTAACCGGAAATTGAAGCTGTTCCAAAGCGTAACCGACTTCCGGTTACGATCCCTACCAGAGGCCTATTCCAGTTTAAGCCGGGGATCCTTTAGCCCAAAGTTACACCACTGCACAGAGTAAGTACACACATAGTATGTATAGTTACCATATATTATTTATAACCAGAATAATTTTGTATATTATTTGTGACGTGTTGTGTGCTTTACTAACCGATTTAACCTAGTGCTTTGTATAATGGTGATAAAATATATATATATATATATATATATATATATATATATATATATATATATATATATATATATATATATATATATATATATTTTATCACCATTATACAAAGCACTAGGTTAAATCGGTTAGTAAAGCACACAACACGTCACAAATAATATACAAAATTATATATGTGTGTGTGTGTTTGGGATTTGAGTTGGAAGAATGTTACAAGTAAACCAGTAAGATATTGTTCAAATTGAAGATGCTCAATGGATTTTAGGGCTGTTAAACACACGGTGTTTTCTTAGTAAGACCGCACTAATATAAAATGCTTGTGCACTTTAACATATTAGTTGCATAGTTCCCTTTACTATTTCATTCTAACACCAGACAATTTTACTCAGCAAGGGACAGGGTATCTGCCCATACAAAGTTACCATTAAGTTGCATTGCACCCTACATTATTATTTTACTCTGTCTAACACTAGACGATTTTAGTCATCAGGGGGAGAGGGTTGGCACTCACTTACCATGAGTTGCATTGCACCCTACTTTATTATTTTAATCTGTTTAATATCTGTTGTCACCATACTTAACCGTGTGGATGGTTAGGTGCAGACGTAATCAGCTGATGGTCTTTTGAGTTACTGTACTTGGATTCAGGTCCGAATCACGTGAACCTGTCCATTCAGGACCTGACCACCGAACGTCCGCACCTTATCACACCGAACTAAGTGTTCCGTGGAAATTAAACCGAATGGTAGTTATCGTCATGAAAAAAATTTTGGCTTCTTCTCTAAGCAGATTACTACTGCAGTTGGCTATGAGTTAGCTAATGACCTGTGAGTCTGCTAGGCACTCTCTATGTCCGATGCGTGGTTCCTATGATATTAACCTTGGTTACTATGTAACCTCGTTTAATGCCAGATGATTTTACTCCCTGTGGGGAGAGGTTGCCAGCACTCAGTGGGTCAATCGGACTATCTGCCCATGTGTCTAGTGTAGGGTTGGGCGATATAGGCTATCAATTTTATTGTGAACTTTTCACTCATGATTATCATATCGTAGGTGGAAACTTGAGTAATGATATGTATATCGTAATCATTGTTATGGTCGATGACTGTTGTGATAATTGCGTCATACCTGTGTACATGCATACTGTAGCTGTTGTAAAAGACGAAAACAGTTCTTTTAATTTCTCAAAATTATAACAGAAGAATTAAAACTATTTTCTGAAAGTTTGCCGCTATCCCAGTGGCAAATGGTTTATGAAATGATAGAATGAAGCAAGGTTTTTACTTGGTTATTTAATTACTTCCTTTTCAAGTCGGATATTTAATTTAATTTGTTGTTTCTAATAAGATATAAAATTAGTTTAAGATTATATTGTTAGTGTTGCTTAAATAAAATATCTTGATATAATTTCCTAACTCTAATGCCAGATGATTTTACTCGTCAAGGGGAGAGCACTGGGGCCACGAGTTAAATAGACTCACTACAGAAAATCCAATAGATTTAAGTTGCAAAATATATACCTTGTTGGTATTAAATATGTATAACAAAATGGACTATGCTTGCTGCATAAATAGATTAATCACTGAATGGCAATAGCAGAAAAATGACCTCATCTGCCTGGAAGTTTTCCTGGAGTCATGGTTTGAGATTGAAATTTTTCATGATCATGACATGGGTTTGAGATACCAGGATTTCTTAACCTGGGGCCGGTTGTATAAAAAAGTGATTAATTATGATTAAGTGCAAATGTCATCCAATAAGAAGCGCCTATGTGAGAGTTAATCACTATTTAACTACAAAATAGTGATTAAAAAAGTGATTAAGAGTTTTATACAACCGGCCCCTGGTATCCAAACTGAAAACCTGGTAAATCTAAATTCTCAAAATTAAACATGCTTTCAATGTATTATATTATTTAGTTGCCATGAACTCAAACGTTCACTAAGTGTAAGAGGTTTCCCATTACTAATGATAGAGTTTGATGTCAAAGGCAACATCGTGAAAGGAGATCTACGAGTGGCAGAACGTGAATTTATCCCATTTTACCAGTCCAAAAATAGGCTAATCCCAGTTACCATTTTACTTCTTCAGGACCCAAGGAGACTGCTACTATAGTCAATTTGTAAAATTGTGGTTGTGTACAGTAATATGATATTCACGTGTTGACGATTGTATTTATATAGGTCGGGATGTCATTGCACAAGCCCAGTCCGGTACTGGAAAAACAGCCACTTTTTCTATTGCAATTTTACAACAGCTGGATTTAGAACATAAAAAACCTCAAGCGTTAGTATTGGCTCCAACAAGAGAGCTTGCACAACAGGTAAAACAATTCTAACATTTGTATTGTAATTAAAAGATATGTAATAATTTCTTAATGTACTCATAACCAAGTGCATTTTTTTACAAAAAAATTTCCTCTTAATCTGTGTTGTTGGTTTAGATTCAAAAAGTGGTTATTGCCCTTGGTGATTATATGAGTGTGAAGTGTCATGCCTGCATCGGAGGAACAAGTGTTCAAGTTGGAATAAGCAAGTTAAAAGAAGGTCAACATATAATTGTTGGTACACCCGGTCGAGTTTATGATATGTTGAATAGGGGTACATTGGGTAAGTATATGCACCATTGCAGAGTGTCACTTGACTCACTTCTGACCTCTCTAGATAGATAGATAGATTTTTAATAGAACTACATACTTTACACACACATACAGATATATACAGGTTAAAAGAGTTAATCTACTCTAATTTGGTCATTAAATAGGCTTCTATATGGCAAGTTTAAATGACTTTAGCGATTTGATCTGTCCAAGTTATTCGAAATATTCACAGCCCTGTATGTGAAGCCGATTTAGGGGTAAATCAAGGTTTTCTCGCTTCCTTGTAAACCGTTACTGTAAAATATTTGTCGGAAATGCTGTACAAGGTCGTACTTTCTTCATATAACTTGGCATACGTTTCATCGGTGTCTATGTATAATATTCTAAACTACTCAGTTTTACCCTTGTTCTCTGTTGAGTGTTGCATTTATGTCCTGTATATAAGAGATAAAAATGTTTCGCGAGTGTTTTCCAAGTTTTTAAAGCACGACAAGGTAAGCCTTACTGCATGTGCATATATAAAGCAAGTCCCAGTCAACTCAAGCTAACAGTCTAAACAACATGAAATTTTTGGTATAGACTAATTCGAGCGTGATAATTTTCGAGTATTTTTGCCAAGAAGTGCTGTAGATGGAAAATTGATGACTCTTAACTCAGATCGGGGAATGCTCATTGTCTGAAGGATTTTTGGGTAAACACAAAGGAGTTGTATTAAGTTGTACAGTATGTTATCCTGCATTTCCTTGGATAGGATACTTGACAGACACCAAGCATTTTCGGCGTCCCATATTGTACGTCTGTGCGCCTATTTTTAATCCCTGAGAAAAATGTGTAGAACATTCCTGGGTTGAGCATTACTGATAACTATATTATTATGTTTTATGTAGAACGTGATAACATCAGATTTTTTGTCCTTGACGAAGCAGATGAAATGTTGTCAAGGGGATTTAAGGATCAAATTTACGATATTTTTCAATTGCTTAATAATGATATTCAGGTAATAATTGGTAAATAATTACAGCAATGTTCGAATTGATTGTAAATTTGTCTCTCAGAACGTTTGCGTCACATCTCCGAATAGTGAAACTACTAGAAATACTATTTTTGCATTGACCAGCTGATGTGCTCAGAAATCAGTTTTTTGCAGGCCTTGAAAATTAGTCTAAAGTTTCGCATGAAACGTCTCACCTACAGTTGTTAGATACTTGTCTTGTGAATATTGTCTGCCCTAACACTAACCATGTAACGGTCGACAATCCGCTATTTGCTAAACAAAACGACTAAAATGAATAATTTGGCTAACGTTTAAGTGTTCTTCCTCTGATTTCTAAATACAGACAAGCAGGTTGAAAATACGAGGCGAAGCCGAGTTTTTTTAACCAGCTTGTCTGTATTTAGAAATCAGAGGAAGAACACGTACTCGTTTTGGATATAGCTTCTCAAACGAATCAATACTTTAAGAGAAAATTAATATGCATTTCTTTTGAATTTCCTTCATGAATTATTAATGAGTTTGAGAAATATGGTTGCTAGCCAAGTCACAACTCCAGATAACTCGCATACTTTGTTACTATTGTTCTAGTGTTTACAGAAGCATCGAGTAGAACAACAGTAACTAAGCATGATCTAGAGTACTGACTTACTGTATAAGAGTTATTCACTCGTGTGGATCATTCTAAAGCCTACTAACCTTTTCTCTATTCTATGGTTCTGTAAACTAAAAATCTAGACCGATTTACATTGGAGTACGATAATAAGTCGCATGTAGCCCAGCATTAACATTACGTTTATTGATCCATGATAAAATTCCCCGCTGATGCATCAGCAAGAATAGCCACACACCATCACCACCATATGAATTGCTGTCATCCTTACCCAACCAATGTCACCTCCTCCATCCCCAATGGCAACTTGTCATCCGTCAGAAAGAATTATGTCACGGTGAATTACGTAATAAAAGAAAGAAAAAATTCTGATATTGGATTACTATTGTTTAATTGCTACTAAATAAAAGTATAAAAGCAAGAGAAGGGAATCAAACTTATAAAAGCAAGAGAAGGGAATCAAAACTTTTTCTTGGCTGCTGTGACAGGCAACAAAATCACGTAGAGCCTTCAGTCCGATTTTTGTAAGAACCCATGTGAGTTAGTGTATCTCATAGTGTGTTTTTTCAATTCTTTACGCGTGCAGGTAATACTATTATCAGCAACAATGCCAACTGATGTTCTGGAAGTCACAAAACGTTTCATGAGAGATCCCATTCGAATTCTTGTAAAGAAAGAGGAACTTACCTTGGAAGGAATTAGGCAGTTTTATGTTCAAGTTGATAAAGAGGTTGGTGTGATGCTGTATATTTTATCATTTATATGATTAACCTCGTGGTCGTGTATTAACAATATTCTATAGAGATGAACCGTTTGATCGCAGAGCATAATCGGCCATTTTGAAATAATCGGTAATTGACTAATTATATTGCACGATAATCGGCCGTAACTTTCGCATTCCGATGTTAAACCTTCAATTTATCAACCAGTGTTATCCTTAACTTCCGAAGTTATTTGGTCTCATTTCTGAAACATTTCGAAACATTAGTTGCAGTGGATCATATGCTACTGAAGCATATTCGACTTAATTAACCTTTTAGCAAAATACTTTAATTTTGATATTTAACTGAAACTCCGATTAATACCTTGCAATTTATTCTCAATGATTTTACACAACTCTGTTCTGTTGTTTATAAGAAGGAAAAAATACGAATAGATGAATTTAACTTAAGGGCGGATCTAGTCGAGCGCCAGACGATCGACAAATTTTTAACCAATAACATTCGTAATCCGCGCTTTTTTTCTTGCTACTAGTACTGTACATCTCCACTTCTCTCTAAATCGTTGCGAATTTTTATGACGATCGTCATAAAAATCGCCTCAAAAATCGTCTAGAGGAGATCCGCCTAAAGCACATGCAGTCATCTGTACGGGACTGGTGACTAGCAACGTAAATTTATCGCCAAATGTTTGATATAATCGGACAATTTTTGTAATCCGGTCATCTTTACACTATTTTACATCATTTTTATTTCTTCCTTAGGAATGGAAGTTTGAAACGTTATGTGACTTGTATGAGACTTTAACTATTACGCAGGCAGTAATATTTCTCAATACACGAAGGAAGGTTGATTGGCTTACAGAGAAAATGCAAGACAGAGATTTTACTGTTTCCTCAATGGTAAGTTCACTCTAAAAGATGAAAAACTAACTTTCCAGATTGTGTGTATAATTGACTACAAAGGTTTTTGACAGGTCGAGACTGGATATTTTACCATATTTGGCGAAGATGAATCCAAAAGGTGTTTTTTACAAGTGTAAATAGTTTTAAAGGTGATTTGACCTCATTACTAACCTCACGACTGTTGATTTCGCGAAGACAAGTGTTCCCGCGCTTTTATAATTTTAAACTGGCAGAAAAACAGTCCTAATGCTCCAAATCACTTTCATTACTCTACCATATCGTTTGTTGTGTGTTTAAAATTAACATATATATCATCTGAAAAGGTTTGATAAATCAGGAAGGTAGCCACGATAAGCTATACTGTCCAATATGCTCCCTATTGAAAACTCGTCATTGGTGTCGGGAAAAAGGTTGACATTAATAATTAGTAGTTAAATTTAGAGATGAGGTGACTGCCATATATGGAATTGAGTGACAGGCATGAGATAAAAGGAATGTTGTTAATTGTTATTGCATGGGAATATATGTAACTGGGAGCGATTTGGGAAGGGATTATAATAAAAAACACAAGATAAACGCGTAATTTTGCTCTTATTGTGGGGATCGAACGAAAATCTACCACAAAGGGCACCTCCAGACGGGATTAACTTAATAAACGGGATATAGTGACAAACGTAAAACGGGATATTTTACACAACAATCGAGTTAGAGCAAAATTACGTGGTATATGTAAACAAATACAGAGATCGAGATGTTAACACGGCAATCGCGAAATGACGTCGAAGCACAAGGAGAACAAACCATCGCACAAAACGACATCGAGTTAACAGAAGCCAATTTCAAATCGTTGTCGAGAAAGCTCGCTTATTTTAACCGATCTACGGCTGATGCTCTAGAAAGTGAGTACGGAAGTGACAAAATAAACAGACAATATACTTTGCTTAAAACCAAACTGGACGAAGCGTACGATTTAATACAAACTATACAAGGTTTAAAGTTAGATTCCGACGAGAGCGACGAAGCAATCGATCAATGGACTCAGGAAAGGAAATTACAAGTGCAACCCTATGAAAATGCGGTCGAAAAGCTCGACGAAAGGCTAAAACATGACGAAAGTATACGCAAGGAAAAGGCTCGTAACGACAAGCTAAACGAGGAATCTATTATTCGAGACTGGATGAGGCAAGAAGAACAGGAAGCTGAGAACAATAAAAGAATTCGTGAGGAAAAATTCGCTTTACAACTTGAGGAAAAGAAATTGGAAATAGCAGAAAAGAAACGCGTGAAACCGAAATTACCAGATTTGCAAATATCCAAGTTCCAAGGAACATATCTTGACTGGGTGAGATTTTGGAGTCTTTTTTCAACTCAAATTGATCAAACATCCATTCCAGATGAAGCTAAATTTTCGTATTTGAAGGAACTTGTCATACCAAAGGTACGTGCAACAATTGAGAAATTACCAGCTGACGGTGTAGGGTATAAGAAAGCCAAGGAATTCTTAGAACAAAGATATGGTGACTCTAGTGAAGTGGTGAATGCCCATATTCAGGAAATAATGTCATTGCCAATTATTACTGGAATTTCAAGACCCAAGATACACAATTTTTACGATAACCTTTTGGGACATGTTCAAGCGTTGGAAACACTGGGGAAATTGGAACAAGTTGCCGGTAATGTGCGAATGACCTTGGACAAATTAGTGGGTATCCGAGCTGATCTAATTAGAACTGAAAAAGACTGGAAGAAATGGACCTTTACGGAACTTGTCGAAGCTTTACGACAATGGGTCGAGCGCAATCCCCTACAACCTGGAGATAAAGATGGCGGCCAACATCCAAAATTTAAGCAAAGAGAGAATCAATTTGCAACAAGAGATCACGTAAAGCAACTTCAATGTGTATATTGTGAAAATGACGACCATAGATCAGTGGAATGTACCAAAGTTGTCGATGTCGGACAGCGAAAGAGAATACTAAGCATAAAGAGACGGTGTTTCAACTGTACGGGAGAAAAACATAGAGCAAGAGAGTGCAAAAGTAATACCCAATGTTACAAGTGCCAACGTAAACATCATACATCCATTTGTGACAAAGCTGAACCAAGCCCTACAATGTGCCAACCGAACCAATCCAACGTCATATATATCCTGTAGTAGTTGTTGAAGTAGAAGGAGTAAAATGTCGAGCGTTACTGGACACTGGTTCAGGAAATTCTTATGTATCTTCTACGTTGATGAACTTAACAAAAAAGAAGCCAATTAGACAAGAGATCAAAACCATAGAGATGATGTTGCATACAACTACGAAGACGATTGATGTTTACAATGTTGAAATCACAAACATTAATAAAAACTTTAGCATGTCGTCTGAAGTGAATTGTGTTGATCGACCAGTGCTACTGACCTTGCAAAATCCACGTTATAGAGAAGTTATTGCCAGTAATTCACACCTTGAAGGCATAGAGATGGACGATGTTGACACGAAGCCAATGTTGCCAGTTCACATGATACTGGGTGCTAGTGATTATTCA